GCCCTTCTTTTCCGGCAACACAGAATGGAGAATTCTACTTAGTAAGGAAGAAAGAAGTTCGTTTTCATGTATGCACTATTTCGGTTTTTGTTATATGCATTACTGCGGTTTTGAGTCAAAACTGTGCATGTATGCATTACTTCGGTTTTTGTCATATGCATTATTTCGGTTTTGAAACGAAAGTGTACATGTATGCATTATTTCGGTTTTTTCATATGCATTATTTCGGTTTTCAACCGAAACTCTGCATATATGCATTATTTCGGTTTTCAACCGAAACTCTGCATATATGCATTATTTCGGTTTTTTCATATGCATTATTTCGGTTTTCAAACGAAAGAGTGCATATTCATAATTTCGGTTTTTCTAATATGCATTATTTCGGTTTTTTTCATATGCATTATTTCGGTTTTCAACCGAAACTGTGCATATATGCATTATTTCGGTTTTTTTCGTATGCATTATTTCGGTTTTTTTCATATGCATTATTTCGTATGCACAGTTTCCATATGCACAATTTCAGGGTGCCTAATTTTTATTTGCTTGCACAGCGATAAACACGAGAGACTGTAAATGTTGGTTATAAACAATTTTTATGTATTCTCGCTACGCTAATACGTTAGGTTGTAAACTTAGCCTAATACTGAAACTGAGCTGGACGCCATATTAAAGCTGTATGACTGTTATTTAACTAATTTAACAATTTCATTATGTACATTGGCTCAACTATGCCACTTTATGTGTTTTTTCGACCCTTTTTTAAACAGCGCAGCTGTTAAAATTTTAATAATGGCGAAAAAATCATTGCTTTCAAAATATAAGTTTTTCCAGATTTATTTAAGAATCTTCAAATCCTTATAAGTTTTGAGGTGCTCGAGTTTCAGAGGGGGTAGTACCGAAATTCACTCGACAGAATGTACCTCGTTTTACAATTAGGAACTCACATTCATATATATTCGCGATTTTCTTGCCTGCATATTACGAAGAGGAATGCTGAGATTTATAAAAAGAATTCCAAGTCGTGCAGATTAAAAAGAGCTTCGGTGTAAATTTTATGTCTGAGTTAATTTTAAATTTGATTAGTAGTAAATTTTATTCCTCGAATTCTTTTGTACTCTTCACACTCATGAAAATATATTTATGCTAGAATATGATGTAAATTCTTTACCATTATGGTGTATGATTTGAGCCAATATCAATACGTATTTTATACCAACGGAGTTTATATTGTTTTAGAAACAAGAAAACTTGCATACCCCTGGCATAATATATATGTATGCCGGAAATCAGTAAAAAAAATTTGCGGTAGGTGTAAATAATGCACGAAAAAGCAGTATCACCT